AGAGAGAGAGAGAGAGAGAGAGAGAGAGAGAGAGAGAGATGGGCGACATTGGGATTTGACGACATTGGGGTTCAGACTCAACATCGGGATTCAGACCTTCGGCGAGGGATTAATTGGGGCTGTAGCGAAGACTTGGTGTCGACGATATTTCCATCTTCCCCCACTCCTTTGTCTGATCCCCCTCTTCTTTGTCTGTGTATGATCGGGGACTGACGCATTCTTCCTATGTGAGCGTCAGCCCCCCTTCCCAACATGGGATGATGATGCATGTTTGGTCTGCATGGCAGCTTGATTGATCGGATCATTGGTATTTAAGCCTTCCGTTGTGCAATCTTGTATTTGGCGAGAAAGGTCGGTTCTTGGTCTGGTCTGCACCGTTATGGTATGCAACAAGAACCCTACACACTGTTGGTTCCCACCACCCGCTGAGTCAGGAACCCACTGCGAGGAACATCTATCATCACCCATGGAGCCATATTAATAGAGCACCCCGCCTACTAGTGCAACAGGCACTCCAAACGATAAACCATCGACTGTTTATCACTTCTTAGAGGTGCTCGCTTAGACACAAAGTAAGATAATACAGCAAAAAAAAAAAAAAAAACACGCATTCATGCATATGATTGTGTGCGTGTGTGTGTTCGTAATATGATCTCACAGCGCCTACGCCATGTAACTCCACTTTGTGCATGTGTGTGTTCGTAATATGATCTCACAGCGCCTATCCATGTAACTCCACTTCATAAACAGTGGCACACCAGGTCCAGCAATTGCCCATCACACACCGCTCGATGGCCACCCATCCATGCTACCCAATTAGTGAAGATGACATGTGATAACCAGCATTTCCCCCTCTTCCTGGTATAACATTACTATCATTCAGATAAACCGAGAAGGGCAGACAGCCCATTTAAGAAAGATTCCCACCACTTGTTTGCACAGCAGATTAAATCACGAGAGATCAAGATATAAGCATAGCTGTGGGGATCAAGCGATAGAGCATGGGTTGCCTACTAGCGGTATTTCCCAGGAAAGGGAAGAAGAAGTTACATACGCACTTGGGGGGAGAAGAGTGAACCATCCCATTGCCTGAGCAATCTTACGTAGGGGTATGCCCGGACAACCTTTTTTCGTGTGCTAAGATTACCGCTACATAGTATTGCTGATCAAGGGAATACAAATAGACATGCTCCAGAGAATAGTAACAGAAAACTGCGGTATCACTGGAAGAGTGATGGGTTGCAACTTTCTTACATTCACCGATTCATCACATGACAAGAGAGAGAGATGCAACCATAAACAAGCGAGAGAGTTGCTGGGCATCATTCATTGTGTACACAGAGATTTCAAAAAAAGCTACTCGAACTGCTCACTTGGATTCTTCAAAAAAAGCTTGCTCCAACCATCACTGCTTCCGCCCAGAGAGAGAGAGAGAGAGAGAGAGAGAGAGAGAGAGAGAGAGAGAGAGAGAGAGAGAGAGAGAGAGAGAGAGAGAGAGAGAGAGAATTCTGAGAGTCATGTCCAGTGCCCCGGCATAGCCGGGCCAGGTGACCTCTGGATTCACTGTGCTATATTTTTTGGAAAAAAAAAAACAACAACACTCAAAATAAAGCCTATCCCAGGCAAGAGTATCTGTCAGATCAAACGGCTAATGCGGTTAGGTGCATCTTGCCCAGGTTAGAAAAGCGACCATATACATCTGGGAAAGTGCTAACGTGAGTATGCCCTGAGTATTGGAGCGAGGCCCGGTGCTGCTATGTACTTGTATTTTTTTTTTTTTTTTTTTTTTTTTTGTAGAGAAAGCCGCCTCGAAAGTTTGACGCGTGCTATCCCACGAATGAAGCGCCGCATAATGACAAAACGGGCAAAAGCCACTCCAGATACTGCGGCCCTGTGGATGCCTCCAATGTTTCGAATCATACATGCAAGCGCACGTCGTGCGGGCGGTTCCCTACGTGCGGCGCACGCGCCCAACCGATCCCGTGCAGCGCACGACGTGTGCGGAGAACGACCCGTCACCCCCCTCAGAAAAAAAAAGGCCGGGGTCGAAACGGTGCGTTTGAGCCCCCCCCGGCCAAAATTATAAGCGAGATGAAAAAAAAAATTACAGGAGTACTGCCTCACCTTGGTCCTCCTCCCCTTCCTCATCCTCCATGTCTCCTTCTCCCTTCTCCTTTTCGTCTCCTCCTCCTCCTCCTCCTCCTCCTGCCCTTCCTCGTCCTCCTTGTCTCCTCCTCCTCCTCTTACTTCCTCATCTTCAATGCCTCCTCGTCTCCTTCCCTTCCTCGTGTCCTCCCCTTCCTCGCCGTCCATGTCTCCTCCTCCTCCTGCCCTTCCTCTTTTCCCTCCGTCCATCTCTTCTCCTCCCCCATCGCGACGACTCCTCCTCGTTGTCCTTGCTATCCTCGTCGTCCTCCTCGTCCACATCCTCCTCCTCCTCTCCATATCCCCCTCTCCTCGCCATATCCCCATCTTCCTGTCATACGCCCCCTGTTCACCCTCCCAAAAAAAGATAAAATAATAATAATAAAAATAAACAACCTGCACGATTCCACACAGGCACCCCCCGCACAGAACTCCGCACGGAACTCCGCACGAATGTGCGGCTCGTGCGGTCGCGAGTATGTTTCGAATGAATCGAGGCCAACTTTGGCTACAGATGTGTGTAGAAGATACTGTGGGGCTGTGTATGTTTCAAGCATTTCGAACAAATCCGGACAAGTCTTGGGTACAGATACATCTATAGGATATTGAGGGCTGTGGATATTTCCAGCATTTGGGCGTCCACCTGCGTTGGAACATGGACAGGTGCATGGACAGGTGCACGAGCTCGGAAAAAGACAAAAAAAAAAAAAAAGAATCTACTGAAAACGAACTAACGAATCTGCTGAAAAGTGACAGACCAACGAATGTGCACCTAGCTCCGCCACGCCAGCCCTTGAACTCGTGCACGAGCGCGAAGAAAAAAAAACGGCGCCCTGTCACCCCGAAGCGTCTCCACTGCAGCACGCCAGCCTTTGAACTCGCACGGATGGGGGAAAAAAATATAAAACTGCGATTTCTGCGGGTTTCCTTTGGGCCCGCACCTTGTCCCCAGCCATTTTCCCAACACAAGGACACAGGGAGCCCGGGCTCACAGGAGCGTCACGCGAGACCCGCTGTTCCCTTTATAAAGAGTATAGATATAGAAAAAGAATGAAAGAGGAATGTAAACATTGTAGAGCAATAGATGACAACGAGCGAAAGGAAAACAGGAGAAACAAGAATGGACCGGAATGTTGTTGAGAAAGGGGCCACAATGGGGGTTAGAAGATTGGGCCACATGGCAGCAGGAGGACGAACCGCAGGAAGCCTTCAAAATCCGGACCCGGGAGCCTACAAGGAAGAAATGATTGAATGCGATCACGAATCCGGGAAGCACTGCTAGCCTGCTAGATCAGACAACCAAAACCCTGATCACCATGTAACTACAGCACTTGCGCAAAGTAAGAGACGAATTCACAATCTTCAGTCCATCCACTCCGCTGGAGGACTTGGAAGTAGACCCCGGGGGATGGGCTTGGAACCTCAGAGACGGAAGATTGAGGGTGGCTAGAAGGATCAACATCTTAAATTATACTACTCGGATTGGATATCGGCTGAGAAGGCGTTCTTATCCCTTGACAGCATTGTTGTCCAAGCGCTGGGAGAACAAAGTGGGGTGTCACCGGAGCAGCTACCTAAAATACCATGGACAGCACGGAGATCAACACGATTTGCCCCGGAAGGGTCAGGAGCATGCAGTGGCTAATAGCCCACGTGCCACTCCCGGTAAATGCCTGGCTAAATGAGCGCAGGAGCAGTGCACAGAGAGACCCCGCCAATGCACTATGCACAGTCTGTCAAGAGGAGATCCCGGAAACAATGCTACACTGCCTTCTGGCATGCCCGGAGGCCGCTAGCTCAGAAGAGAGAAGGCTATGTCCCTCTCGGGGAAAATCACATCGACTCCCTTCCCGGAGAACAAGGTCACCCCGCTCCTAGGCCATGACCTCCCAAGGAAGTGGCAACCATTTGAGAAGTGCATCTTCCAGCTGATAAGGCATTACAGTCTAAGGATGATCTGGAAGAGGCGCCGCAAGATCACCATTGATAAGCGGCCAATGCACAAGCGGGAGGCAAGTGAGATTCTTCACAATTTACTGGAAATATTTCTCCGCGTGCAGTGGAAAAGGGCACAGAGACAAATCCAAAAACACCAGAACAGGCGCAGGAATTGAAGACCCGCTTTGCCCAAAGGGTTTTGGGCCAGGATAAGGTGGCTACCATTCAGGACTCAAGGTTATTATTCAAATGGAGATTGGAGAGAACAAGCTAGAACAGGAAGGAAACTATAAGTCTGATTATCAAGGGAGAGTTCACAGAACAGAAAGGAAGGAAAAAGTAGGATGTCACCTAGGTTTAGGGTTTAGGGTTTAAGGTAGAAATTCAGAATGAAGAGGATAGGCAAAGAGGGATTATTTAAGTAGGAAGGGAGAGGAAGGATCTTCAGCCATGGGCTATTTTAAAGTATACTTTTGTTCAAGCCGTAGAAGGTTCGAAGAGATAGTAACTAGAGAGATGATTGGTTTTATGGAAGGGGAGGGCGGATAGAATTGGGGGCTAAACTGGGTAATGAAAAAAAGGAATGATAGACGTTATAGTAGGGTTTAGGGTTTAATAATCGTAGAATAGAGAATACGGGTCTTTGCATAGACGGACAGGTCAAGAGGCCCAGAATTTGTAGGTACAAGTTTCTTATTTTGTTAATTTTGTTGCAGAAAAAAAAAAAAAAAAAAAAAAAAAAAAAAAAAAGTGTCTGGTTGCAGCTCTTTTCGGAAGCTTGTGGATATGGGACGCTTGCTCAAATCCACAACTTCCTTTTTCTTTAAAAAAAAGGGGAAAAAAAATAAAAAAACAGGAGAAAGTTTGAGAAACATGATAGCTAAAATGGGAAAAAAGAGAAACAAGTTAGTTAAAAAGGAAAAAAAAAGGCACAAGTTGGTTAAAAAAAAATCGAAAAATTTCAGAAAAACAAAACAAACAAGCAAACAAAGATGGTGCAGATGAGGCCAATTGCTCAAATCATCTGCTTTTCCGTCCAGAGAACTGTGTGCGTTCCTCTTCCCCCGAATAGAATGTGGGTTGATCATAGCCACATGTCTGTCTCTCTCTGTTCCACGACTTGCAGGCACCTAGTTCTGTCTCAAAATGAACATGATCATGAACACGCTGCCAAAATAGGAAATACTACCTTTCAAAAAAGAAGAAGAGATGCGGGATAATTTTGCCAACCTGGGTCTTGAATTTCTCTACCATCAAGTGTTTCAAAATTTTGCCAACTGTCAAAAAACTTCAGTTTCTCAGACTCCATTGAGGAACTACACGAGTGTTTTTCGTCTCCTCGGGGATTTGTCTTCCTCCCAAAAATACTGACGAGTTTCAAAATGGCATTGGAATGCGTTAAAATGCACGACTGTTTGTCCTCTCGTTGCTTGACTACGCAAGTAGAGCAAACATTGACACAGATTTCTTTGTTCCCGAACAAGGTTCAAAGTTTAGCTCTGGTATACTTTGCAGATGCGGATCCTCTCTCTCTCTCTCTCTCTCTCTCTCTCTCTCTCTCTCTCTCTCTCTCTCTCTCTCTCTCTCTCTCTCTCTCTCTCCACATTCACACAGTGAAGAGCTGGTGATAGTAAAGTGGACAGCTTTTTTAAAGGGCATCGTTAACCTTGGGCAAGGTGGTGAGTCCTTATCCTTAAGGAAAATGCATCCTGGCCACCGTTCAACCTCCTGATGGCCGGTGAAAGTCCGATCTAACAGTCTGTCAGAGTTACCCTCCATTTGTGGAGTTGTCTTTAGTGGATACAAAAAATGCAGGCACGTACATGCGAGACACATGAGCAGATGCAGGCATGCACACGTACATGGCCATTCTCTTCCTCGGCGGGTTCTCTGCCCGTTCTTTTCTGCATGCAGCTCCCCCATTCTTGTGATGATGACGAGTTATGGGGATTGCAGTCGGTTGAAGTATATCATCATCAGTTTTCTGCGCCAGCTGTTGAAGCTTTTCTGGGACAGTCACACTCACACCGAAGTTACTACGATACAATTGGACCCCTCACGTTAGACCCCTCATGGCGGTGATGTCGAGTTGAAGCGCCGTTCAATTAGGCGTCCTTGGACCCTTCTTCACCCCAGTTGGGCCGAGCAGTAGTGCTCATAGGGGTTGGGACTCTCCCTGAACCTTGCACCTTCCTGATCGAGGTCCTAGGGGTGGTGTCCACCCACAGAGCATCTCTTGGTGGTAGTCTTCTAATAGTCTGCAGACTCATGGGGGCTTCTCTCTTAAATTTTCTCAGTACCTTCCAATGTCTAAAGGAGAACCAAGCCCTCTGGAACATACGCAACAAGAACCTGGGAAACTTGAGTACAAATCCCAAACATTTCAATGTAGAAGAAGACTCTTCTTTCTCAATGTCCTCAACTATGGTGTCCCGCTGCAGGTACCTTGCTTCATTCTGTTCCGTCAAAGGAATGGCTATGGACTCTACCTCCGGTCCGATGCTACCTCTTCGACAGCTTGTATCTCTCTTTCCCAACTTCTCTGTTACATCTGGTGTGTGCGACTGCGCCATGAGAGACACAACCATCTTGCTCATCAATGCTGTACGCTTCCATCTCCATCCCCTCTCGTTTCGATCGAAGTACCTGTAGTCTTCATACATCTTCACTAAGTTGGGCATCTGACGGAACAGGTCTGTTGAGGAGTTAATCCCTACAGATCTGGCAGTCATTTCACCACCAAGGCCTTGGCTTTGGCTCCGATCCATAGCCGCCCCCTCACCCGCATCCTTCATACGTTTAGAAGTTGAAGTGTGCCATCTAACTGTCTCTGCAAGGGCGCCAAACCTGTTCCCTGGTGTGGGTTTAGCAATGTACCCATCGTTTGAGGGTTTCCGTTGGGAGTCCCACCGGTTTAGATTCAATAACCTTGGCAATAAGGAGGCTGTTAGGTTCTCTTCAGGTACCATTTTCGCATGCAACAGAAGCTGAGGGGAATTACCATAGCCGTACAGACCGTACAAGAAGGCAATGCTCATGTCTAGGATGCCCACCCTCTCGTTTGCCGACCACACGTTGAAGCACCCATGGCTCGTCACCGCTTTTGCAACCTCATGAAGATGGAAGTGGAGGGTTCCTAGAACCACGTGCAAGGATGTCACCTCCTCAATAATGATCTCGATCGATAACAGATTGAAAGGGTGGGATTGATCGCGCAAAATGCTGATGGGAAAGTGGATGTATTCGTTCCAAACTGCATAGCCGTTAACTACAAGCACCCGAGTGGTTCGTTTCTCCAACGCCTGAATCAAAATCCTCAGGAACACCTTAACACTCGTACAGTCATAATTCAGTTCCGTCATACTCCTTATATGAAACCGAAGAACCCCCTCCACTAGAGGCCGCATGTCCTCTTCCACCAGCAGCAGCTTGCTCTCTGCATTATCTTCCGCTGTCACCATGATGATGAAGATGTCGACTGTCCTCACCTTATTTATTTGTTTGCTTGCTTGTTTGTGTGTTTGTGTATTTGTTCAACGATTTCTTTATCTCACATTCTTATTTGCTAATTTAGTAATTTACCTCTATTTGTACACGCTTCTGGACTGCAGTGAAGAGCAATTGATTTGCGGAGTAAGAAAAGAGAGCTTCCATGGGATGGATGGATGGACTGGGACGATTGGCATTGATGCTTATCAGTGGAATCAATTGGGTAATTGATTGATTGATTGATTGATTGATTGATTGATTGATTGATTGGTTGGACGGTTGGGCGGTTGGGCGGTTGGTTGGTTGGTTGATTAGATGGATTCCTCGTTGGTTCGCTGATGGACTGGTAATGCTGGATGGAAATATGAAGAAACTGTTTACAGCAGGGTGGCATTTGCAGTCAGAATCTGTCAGATTGCTTTTTTAGAGCCGCGGTTTTGTTCCAATGAGCATGTCATGCTGATGATGATGACTATGGCAACGATGGTCACAAAGAATTGACGATGTATTCAGGTTCAGATTTCTTGATCAAATACTCTATGGCTTGCAAATCTGGATTTTGTTGGGACTGATGATGATGATGATGATGACGATGATGAAGATCGGTGATAGATGATAATTATATGATGATTATGATGACCAACCAAGCTGCTGATAACGATGATGATTGCCTCACTTCGCGGAGTTCACCTTCCGGCTTTCATTACGGGTCCTTCGCAGAGTAACCAAGTGAATGATGATGATCATGGTTACGGCGGGAATGGTGGTGACAAAACCGACTCCATTCATGCTACACATTGCTGGAAACATGGCATGCAATTCTGAACACCTATAAATAAGGACAAATAAAGCAGCAGGACCCAGGGTCCAAGCCCGGGTAGCCCATGCTTTTCATCCCTTCAGAACAGCGTGCATGTCCTGCAGGATATCCATCCTGTAGGAAAGACATGGAAGGGAACATCAGCGTTATGGCTTCACCAAGGGGAAAAGTTCTTGGAATTCATCTATCACCATCCTCCTCCTCCTCCTCACCATCATGAATACCCAATACCATACGAAAGCCCAGATTCGCTTGAACAAGGACCTGAACTTGAACACACACACACACACACACACACACACACACACACACACACACAGAGAGAGAGAGAGAGAGAGAGAGAGAGAGAGAGAGAGAGAGAGAGAG